TGTTTTTAATATTTTTTTATTTAGAGACATCCACATTTTGTTTCTAATGTGGATGGTCTAAGGGAATAACAAATGGCAGGATGGTGAAGCTCTCGGGGCCATCTTGAGTGCTTCGGTGACTTGAAAGAGATCAAAACACTCGTCTTTGGAGGATACGATGATCACTTGTTCAAGCATAGGCAACTTCTTGAGGAAATGCTCGACTAGTGACATCTCTACACGGGTTGCACCAAACTCCAATATCTTCAGGACTTTCACAGGACATGAAGATATGCCGTCACAAGCATCCCCAAATCCATCCGCAAGCAATTGGTGGAGGCCCTGAGGAAGGAAAGAGCATAGACACACCGAATTTGTTAAAAATGTGTAATAGTCTATTTTTAGTTAAGGGAGTTGTTTTTCTGTTTCTAATCATGTACTTACATGGAAGACGAGTTTTTGTAGATTAGGGCATTTGATGAGCAAGAGCGGTAAGGATTGCCATCCTCGCTCATCGTTGCTCTCAACAGATAAATGAGCCAGGTTGTTGAATACCGATAAGGTCTCACCAAGGAAGGAAAACACCTGAAAAAGTTATTGTTGGATGATCAACAAATTAAAGAGTACGTATTTAAATAACCAAAAAGAAGAAAGAAGTAAGTAAAGTAACCTCAAGCGTCACGGAAGATAAATGAAGGGTTTGAACATTGTGTATCCCCATGATAAGAGTGGTGGCATCTTTACGAGATTTATATGGGTTACCCTATGATTCTCTTACACTCATTTGAGCTATAGTCGATCCAACATCTAGCCTAGCTTTAATAAGGGAATCCATTTTGACTAGCGGATTGTTGCGTGGAGAAGAATCCGAGTAGTTTAAGTAGATGAGGTTTGGAGTGTCGAATGTAAGATAAGTGGGTGGATCAATACCAGTACCAAGCTCGATGTAGGAGGTTCGAGAATATTTACGAGGTATGTAATGTTTAGTAATGGTTAGTCTCTTGAGTGTTGTGGAAGTAACTAACGCAGCTGAGCTCCAAACACAATCTAGTAAAATAAGTCCTCAAGAACAGGGCATTTAGATAGAAGCAGAGCCAAGATGGTACCTTTATCACCAAACTGAATAGAATCAAGCTGCAAAGTTTGAAGCTTTGTAAAGATGAAGTCTCCTCCTCGAGTTAGTCTTTGGAAGGGACCAAGTTTGCCACATCCGAGTCTCAGTTTAATCAAGTTTTGGGCATTAGAGAAGATACTAGAAGGAAGTGAGTATCCTTGTGAAGGGAAAAGCAATATAAAGGTAAGATCTGTTGCTCCACGTCTCAGAGCTTTCACTACCCAATCTCCGACAAGAGCTTCGTCAACACCGTTATGACATTTGAGAGAGAATTTGGTAATGGGAGAATTGGATTGAAGAGTGAAGACTCTGTTCACAAACTCAATGAAACTAGTCCCTTTATATTCTACATTTCTTTGACCAGGCACAAAGATGGAGTCGTCAAGGTCAAGACTAGGTATTAATGTAAACAAATCTCGCCATCTTTTGGACCGAACCGAAGTCGAAGCTGCGTCTTTTGTCGTGAGGAAAGACAAGATGCGACAAAGTAAATCCTCTGGTAGTTTCCTGATTGCACCTTCTTCTTCTTCTCTTTGGCCGCCGTTTTCACTCTTTTCTGTATCCATTAGGGTTACAGATTCCTAACCTAAACCTATTACGGTGTTTACATATTTTAATTACGGTGTTTAGAAGAATTTGGACGGTGTTTACATATTTTAATTACGGTGTTTAATTATGGTGGTGTTCCTAGTTATTAGTGATTTTCCTTTTTCATTATTTACATTTCAGTATATCCTTTTATCTAAGAAGTTGTAACCTTATAAATCTTTAAAGGTGGAGTTTTCATTATAAATCTTTTATAGTTTTATACAACTTATCAAAGGAGATACCTCTCTCTTCCCTCAAAGAAACTGATCTCTGTGGTTGGATATTTTTGTTTAGATTGGTGTATATATCTTCTATTTTGAAACTATTTTTGTAACCAAAGATTTATAATGTGACGTTTCTCTTCTTTTTTGTTGTTGTTGTAGTGGATGATACTTTGTGGTTGCACGAAAGAGTTGGATCAATGCTCGAGTGAACCATTCTCTTTGTAATGTGTTGAAGCTTGGTGTCTTGGAACTTAAACTGCACATAAATGTAGAAAAAGGATATTCACTGCCCTCTGCGGTCTTCACTTGCAAGATGGTTGTTGAGCTAAAACTTGGAACCGGTTTTGTTCTTGATTTTCTGATGGGAATCATGAGATGCCACAATTACCACTTGTGGAAGGATGGCCTAAACGTGTGTAGAGACCCCACTTCAAGATACATTGACTAAGTCACAGTCATGATTTTCAATGTAGCCGTTTATAATTTATTGGCCTGAATTGACTTGTTTGAGGTTGGTTTTGTCGCAAACCAGTGATGTAGCAGAGACCTGGAATGTATTTCTTTGTATGCGTGTGACGAGAGTGTAGGAAATGGAACAATGAGAGCAAGTAGGATTAGTTAAGACTTCAACTAAGAGAATCGATCGAAAGCAAATAATTGTTGAGAATTCGATTCAAAACAAGTCAGACGACA